TTTTTTTTTTTTTTTTTTTTTTTTTTTTTTTTTTTTTTTTGAAGTTGGCTTTGGAGCAGACAAGTTCATGTACACATGGATTGGAGCCTTGTTCCCATTAAAAAAAAAAAACACTTCATGTAGCTCTTGGGAATTCATTGGAGGTGTGATTGGGATTTTGGATGATCCTTGCCATATTGAGTGCATGGCTACGCACATGAACCAGAAGGTTGGTGCGAATGATGAACTTATCTTTCATAAGCATTACAAGATTAGGTTTTTCTTCGTACTCTGGAAAAGAGCAGAAGATGGCAGTGGTCATCTCTTTTCTTCACCGGGTTGGCACTTTCACTACAGCACCTGGTACGGAGCTGATTTTTCTATTCATGCTCAAATGTAAGCTAATGGCGGAGAGGTTACCCGGATGAGTATTTTGATTTGGCAATTGAAGATTTTTTTTTTTATTATTATTTTTTTCAATTAAAGAATTTCTCCAGGAGGTATAGTGATCATTGGCAGCGTAGTAGAGGTCGTTTTTTCGTTCAAAAAAAAAAAAAAGAGCATTGGCAGCATTGGTTGTTCGTCCCGACCAATTGGAAAAGGCTTGTTTGGTGGGTCGAAGTCCGTTTTAATTTATTGATGTGCGGGCATTGGATAAATAAAGGGGGACCCTTGACTCGGGTTGGGGGGGGGAAGTTGATTGGGTCTGTCCCCTTTATCTCTTTTTGATAATGTTTTTCTTTCGTTTTGTTCTTTTTATGAGGAAGTGGGGTTCGATCCCTGGGGCCAAGTCCCACTAGCAGCGTCGAGTTTCCTGAACCCCTGAATCTGGATGTGTTTGTGGCGATGTGCAGGTGGAGGAAACTCAACGTGATTTCTGCACATCTCCACAAACACGTCCAGATTCACGTGTTCTGGAAACTCAACTTTGCTAGTGGGACTTGGCCCCTGGTACTACTATGGCAACAAGTGGCGTCTGTTTTTGAAGGATAGTGGGTCCAAGTCGCCTTAATATCTGCTATACTGTTCTTTTTTTTTTTTTCCATTTTGGGGAAACTATGCGGGAGTCAAAAAAATGAGTTATATGCGGGAGTCACAAAAATGAGTTATAATAATAATAAAAAATAAAAAATAAAAAAGAGTTATGATTGCAGTATGGGCCAATTGCAGTTCGGGCGATGTATACAACCCAGCTTTCTGGCCAGGTTGGGTGCCGCAAGTGGAGTTGCAACCTGTATCTTGCCCCATACTGCAATTATAAGAGCCTCGTTCCACCCCACTTGAGTTCAAGTGCGACGCGAAAAATCATCGTTCCACCCCGCCCTAGAGAAATGCTTTTTTGTTTTCACATTTTGCATCTCAAGTGCCCGCTCTTGAAACTCAAGTGCAGCCCGGGCAAAATCGCACTTGAGTTCAAGTCACCTCCTGGAGGTGCCTTGAGTTCAAGAGCTACCCTTGGGTTTCAGCCGCGGGTGCAGGTATTTTTTTTTTCTTTTTCTTTTACGCCCCGCGTTCCTGGTTCACGGCATGTCCCTTTTGCGGTCCAGTGAGCAACGGCTACCGGTGGCGGTACCGGGTGCCAGCAGTGGAACTGTTGAGGCGGACATATTCAAGGCCGGGTGCCGGCCTACTGGATCGAAAACCCGCCGGTGGGTCTCCGCACAAGGGGGGGCCAGGGTGTTTTTCTTTCAAGTGCGACATTTTGAAGTTCGGTCTCTAGTGTGCATGGAACGAGGAGGCGGCGTAGTGTAAATTAATCAAGATTTCGCGATTAGGGCGCACTTGAAACTCAAGAGTTCTGGGGAATGTCAGAGCAGCGGTCTGGATTTGGCCATTTCTGCTACTGGACTATAATCCCCTACGTCTGCACCATAATCTGGGTAATGGTCCCAGCGGTCACTGCTTTTCGGGTTGGTTTGTGGAGGGATTCCGGGCCTCCTTTTTCTTCTGTTAAATGGATGCAAAGTTGATTTGTAAAAAAAAAAAAAAAAAAAAAAAAAAAACTCAAGAGTTCTCAAGTGGTGTGGAACGAGGCTGTAACTCTTTTTTGCGACTCTACTGAAGTTACCCCTATATATATACAGAGGCTCCAATCTATTTGTGGGACACTGGGGAGCATATATTGTTTTTGATACGAGCTAGAGACTCAGGGCATACTCACACGGCGACCTAAAGTCACAAGTATCTGGGGCGTTTGGTACCATGTATTTGTGCCTTTGAGTGCCCGTGCGGTCACACATGAGTTGTGTGTCCACAAATGACAGAGTCGTGGCTCTGACATTTGTGCCTCACAGAAGTGCACGTAGTAACATCGGTTACACCCAAAAATATGTATAGTTTTTTTCTTTTTGTTTTTGAATGCACGGATGTTTTGCTCATGCACGAATTTCTTGAAATACCTCAGGGAGAAAGGAAAATTTGAAAAGGTAATTTGAGACCACCTCTGGAGGTGGTCTCAGCAGGGTCGTCCTGCGGACACGCAGGCTGCTGACAAAAGGGTCACCAAAAAGGGCATTTGGGTAGTGGGCCTCTCCTATGTGACCCGAGAACTGCCTCAAAATTTGAAATTTAACGTCATCAGAACCTGAGCAGGTGCTAGGGGTGCTGGTAAGAGCAGACACCACTTGCACTCCAGGGGCCATGTCCCACTTACACCGTTGAGTTGAGCTAGCTCAACGGTGTGACATAGTTGTTGCAAAATAAAAATTCAAAACTAGTGCAAGAAAAGAAAGCCAAATGCTGCTGAATGCTTTTTCCCATATTTTCTCAAATGTAAAATGGAGAAAGAAAGTGGGGCAATCTTTTTTTTTTTCTATATTCTTCTCTCAACTTCTGTTTCTTTTTACCTTCCACTACCTACTCCTAAGACTATCTAGAGGGGACCCCTGCAAGCATAGTTTCCTCTCTCTGTGAAGGGGAGATTTCATGTTGCCCCTTGCCCCTAATGGTTAGGGTATAGGGTTGGGGCTGCCAGTGGGGGTCTGGCTAACACAAAGACCGAGACCTGCCAGTAGCTGTGCCTCCCTTTCTCATCGTCCCCCACCCTGAGGGTATGGCCAACACTCTCCCACACACCACACACAACCCACTCGCGCTCACACTCACACCCGTGTTGGTCATAGACCAAGTGGGGCAATCTGCTTTTGCCCATAATTTTGAGAAAATAAAAAAGAGAAGACGAATCTCCTCGAGGGAAACTCTCCTAAGTATACGGAACTCTCCGTGCACTCCGTGAAGTAGGAGACAGGACCTCACTACAGCATGGAACGAACGTGGACGGTCTTCCTGGCTATGTGCATTGACCGCCCAAATAAAAGAACGAGTGCCTCCCAAGTCTGTCCAAGTGTCCTCCCACCTCTTTGAGATTGTCCTCCCACGTCTGTCAGAGTGCCCTCCCTTGTCTGTCAGAGTGTCCTCCCACGAGGAGGTAATGATGGCTCAACATCTGTTGAGCTAGCTACCCCGCTTCCAGAAAGGTAGCTAGCTCAACGGAAGCGGGCTAGGGTAGGGGGCATTGTATTCAGGAGGATCTATTTTCGTTCGATTATCCTACTAAAGAAAAGCAATCCAACTTTCGGTTTCCCTTTTTCTGAAAATCTGGCTGCCCGATGGACGGTGAGAGAACTCATCTCCTGGGTCGCCCCAAGGCAACAGGTGATAGAAAACTCAGCGTTGAACTTACTCAACGCTGCAAGTGGGACATGGCCCCCGGGGAGGGAGGCTCCGTCTATTGGTGGGGAGCAGCACCTGCTGGAAAGCGGGTCCAGCGTCCCTGAACATTTGATGTCTGTCTACCCAGTGTGATATTTGACAGTTCGAAGTCCGGGCTACTGAGTTGCTTGCCTACTTGCTAGCCTACAGAGAGTGACAGTGTTTGCAGACCCTCCGGCTGGTTGTAAGGGCACTGGGCAGGCTATATGCGAAGCTCCATCTTTCCCCATCGCCTGTCAAACGGCC